GCAATTTGTTGTTCGAAATTGAAGAGTTTAAGTTCAGTTAGATTTGGATAAACGGCAGCAAGAAGAATACGTTCCATGAAAATTGGTTCAAGAATGAAATATTTGATGCTACGATGAATTCTTGGTAATATGTAGAGGCAGAAGCGATCAATTAAAGAAATTTCATCAATATGTACGAAATTGAGAATATTAGCGAACGTCTTTTCTTGCGCGATGATGTCAAGTCGTCCATTATTAATGTCCAATAATGAATAAAGAACATCAATATTATTCAATTTTCTCAAAATAGTAAGTTATATTTCATTCGGCAGATTCAGAAGATGAACATTAGATCGATTCATCTTTTGTTATATCTATGGCGCTTTTACCAAAGACCAACCTATATTTGTTGATTATTTTCTTCTAATTGCTTCTCTCATGATAAAATAGAATAGGTGAGTTTACTCATAAAAAGTGAAAAACAAATGCACAGTTCAATTCGAGGATTAGTCATTGACTGCCGTTTTCCCTTTCCGTCAATTTTGTATTTACAACGGGGCACTTCTTTGCGTTCATTGGAACGGAAATAGAAGAATGACATTAAGAAAAAGAAAGAACATAATTTTTCTGTATATGACCCAATTGAATTTCAATCGTGTAATATCTGTTTTACAGTTGATACAAAAAATTGAAATTTTGTTCGAAGACAGTTCTTTCAATTGGCTTATATTTTTTTGGTAGAATACAATTCAACTATAGATATAGTGTTAAAACGTTTTTATCGCAAAAGAAAGCATTGACAATGGTCTTATGATCGATTCTGAGGAGAGACTGAAATATATGCATTGTGAATAGAAGTGTAATGTCATATACATATATGCGTCGGTGCTCATCGTTGCGAGTGATTTTATCACGTGGATACAACAGAGCAACCAAATATGAATACCGAACCACTTTTCTCTCTTGCGCTGCAGCCAACCGCCGCTGTACTGAGCTGCAAGGCCAGCGTGATATGGTCTTTAGTTTTCGATTAAACGATACATTTATAAACTTGTGAGTTATCTTGTAATAAAAGACAATGATGGCGAAAGACGTTTTCGATCTACAAGATGTTCCAGTTGTTATATTAGAATCACTTCAATAGGAACTCTTTATGATGGGATCAAGATTTATTTCGCAATAACTCTGCCGATTTTCGAGTAACATTCATACATCTTTCGAACAGTGGTCAACTAGGGAATTCAATATTTATAATTCTGGGAATTTTATTCTTTAAGAACACAACTGCAAATGAATTTTACAATGCTTTTTATGTAGTTTCGAATACGTTCAGCTATTTAGATATACTTGTACACTTTTGCGTCAGACTAAACAAAAAAAAAGAAAATATGCATTTTCGGAAACTCAAGTTGACTTTCAAATGTAGTATGGATCCAGGGTACCTAGGAACACGAATCTAAAAGCTTATTCGTGTTTCTTGGAACGAAATCAGATACTGACACGTGTACAAAAAGCTCGAAGATTCAACTGAGAACTATTGCGCAATAAATCTTTGGAATATAATCAGACGTTTCTCCTATCTTAACTTTGGTACAAAAATCGACATACTGTACAGTAGAATATATCTTCATTTTTTCTTCCTGTTTTTTGGTTTTTATAATTTTTTCAAATGTCACAAATCTATTCTTGAATATTGGATTCACGTTTAATAATTACGGACGAAATAAGAAAAATAATTACCTATCTTTTTTTTGACTAGCACAGAGATTATGGAAGAAATGTGTTTGAAACATGGCAATAAAAGAAACGTGTTTCGTCATTTGAGTAGTGATACTCCCAAGTGAAAGTACAGATTCAATGCAACCAATGACAATAGATACCAAAGCAAAATCTTTAGAAAACATATAATAAGGCAGAACTAGTTTATGCGCTCTATTCTGTCTTGCTGAGAGACAAAGCAGGTGCACGTTCTGCTCTGTAGTCATCTCTGGAAATGACATATATTGAAAAGAAGAATGAAAGAAAAGAACAACTAAAATATAGAACATGATCTTGGTGTGAAAATTACCGAGGAACGATTGATATCTACTTTCATGTCGTGTATAAAGCGGAAATTTGAATAATGAAATAATACGCAATACGATGTACAGCACAGATAATAGTTCGAATATTAAATTTTAACCTAGAAAGATGGAATTTAGAAAAAAATTCTTCGGAACAGATTCTGAAAGAGTAGGGAAAATGTCTTCGAGACAAATGTCATTATTTTAAAAGAAAACGATCCATGAGCATGTCTGAAAACGTTTTCATTCCAAATACTCAATAGATGTTGACCATCGACAACTTTCACATTGTTATGCTAAGATTTTAATATTTACTTTAGAATCTTCTTTTCAATAATCTAATTCTATATTGAACATTCTTCAACAATGAGAGCATCATCAACATTCTTTTTATTTTCACGTTATAAGAATTTATTAGTGTGATAATGCGCATTATATACGTATATAGAATATAATCGACAATTTGGCCAGTCATTTTTTTATTCAAATGAATAATACAAGGTTAGTATTTACAAAGAAGGAAAATATGAATAAAAGTTGTGTGAACTAACTAATGGTTCCTATGTAATTAGAGATTTTATTTTAGTACAATTGAAACATGTCACATCATTTGTAAACTAATTTGTCAGTGTTGTTAATATTTAATATGCAATGATGAGATTTTTCAAACAAGATAAGCGAATGGTTTTTGCCACAAAGAAAGGGTGGGTGGGGTATGACGCGGAGAAAGAGAAGGTTTCAATCAACATACATACATCCTGTTTACGTTAGTTATCTCAGTACATGTTTGCTTCAGTTATTAGCGACATCTTCAATATCACGTTCGTTTTAATTATATAATAGCGTTCCATCTAATGAATTATATTTTTCCTCTCCTTCGAAGTTCATAACAATGGACGGTGTTCATTTCGTGTTGAAGCAGCCCACAAGGATAGGTATTAACGTCAAAACATGAATTACGAACATTGTTTATATGTCAATTCTAAGGGACTGTATAGTTTAAGACATTATTGTGCTTGTTTAGCATTTCATCAACCACATTTACCATCGACAACAATAACGAATGAATTATTGAATAGAAATAATACATGTAGTGATGAAGCTGATCATACAGCGCGTTGATTACCAAAGACACAAAGACAGGCATGAAAATGTTGACCACTTCCGTAAAAATTGGATTGTTTAAAATGGTTTAGGGTAAGTTTGAAGTAGAAAATATAGAAAAAAAACTGTAACATCCAAAGTTATGATTGTTTATTCAAACTATTTAGAATTGTCTTGGTATTGTTTATACAATATATGTCGAACCATCGTCAGATATTCGAGTTGAAACACTTGTTGGAAATACCCTTGGTAATGTTAATGTGCCAACACCAGGTTTTGTTTTGTTGAGGTTAATAAAAACAAGAAAGAAGCTTATGCTTTTTTCCTTGGAAATAAATCGTTGGACATGCATTTCAGTTTTTTAATGGTGCTGCTGATCGACAAGTGATACAACCAGCAGCAGTCCTACAGTACGTTATACTGGTCCATCTATAGATAATCTATTAAAAGAATTAGGTAAAATACTTTTTCTTTTCTCATATTTTCGAATTCTTATTCACTTTTAGGCATTGATCATGTTGCCACAATATTTTGTGCTGTATTGTCAGGTATAACAATTTTATTCTTCCCTAGAAGCCACTAGAAATTAACTGAGGCTTATAAAGTTCTGGAATCTGTTTTATTTCCACTTAAATATTGCTATAATTATATGTCGATCTATTTAATAGTATTAATTTTTCATAGCTGTACATTTATTCCGGTGCTTCCATTTGATTTAATTTAAGCACTCCATGCACCAACACTTTTTTTAATTGGTGTTCATTCAGATCAAAAATTACAAGCATTAGGTAACGTAGATATTCGTTCTTTCTTGAGTTGTTTTTTTATTTCGATTTTAATCTAGTTCGATGGCTTATTGATTGATTTGGATGGTGCTAGTGTTCATTTAGCATAAAATCTTAAACTGACCCCCACACCCTGAACGATCATACAATCGTATTTGATCATCATTGTTTCAAGTAATTATTTCTTAATTAGAAATAGTTCTATTGTATGAATTGTTTTAATTTAGATTCTTAAATCTGATATTCATGCAGCTGAGTTAGCATTTCCATTGAATGGGCGAACAAATTTGAAACTTCATGCCGAAAGTCAAATTCTTGCTGATTATTCGAAATATAAAGAAGAATCAAATAACGATAAACAAATTCGCACGATTTTTTGCTGAATTATTTGCTGGTTATCGCTCATACTTATTAACTACACGTATTAATCTCAAGCCAATGATTTCATTTCATAAAGTAAAAATTCTTTTTATTTCTCAAAAAAACCAACGTTTTACCTTTTATTCAGGCAAGTTTTTCGGTCATCATCAATTAGTCAGACAAGAATTTATGTTACGCATACTTAATTCAATGTCGTTTCATAAATTCATCGAAGAACGTGGTCCACCGTTTCGTCCGGGTGATGTTTTCTATGATGTTTATGCAATCGTCTACGATCAGTTACAACGTCAACATGATCCAACAGTGAATAATAATTCGACAGATGTTTTAGAACATATTAAGAAATTAGCTCATCAACTTTAATTAAATGTATGATTTCGTTTTCAGTTGTAAAAAACCGCACATTTCATTGTTTAGGAAAATCCATCACCACAACAAATGTATGTCCAAAAAGCACCACAACCAGCACAGGCTAGTTGTGTGTGAGATGATCTACCGGAATTTCCACATTTGGATAAAGAATTAATTAATGCAGCAATTAAAGAAGGTCTTAAAAAGCAACAAAATAGTCGGTATGAATGGTTTCGTTTTCGCTAGTTCGAAAAACACATTGCTATGCTCGACGATTATGCTTTGACAAATTCCATAAAGGAATATTACTTTTGATTGGAACACCCTTTAAGCTTATCATTAGGACAACTTGTTTTGATAGATTTTGTTGTTGTTGTTGTTGTCTTTAAATCTATATGATGATCCCACTACTCGCCCGGCTATTGTGGAACATCTGAATACTTATTATTCTGAAGATGTTAATTACATTTCAATTAACTATAAAATTTTGTTGTTTTCTATTAGACCGTATTCAGCTCGAGCGAGTTAACCATGTATCGTAAAATTAGGCAAACTGATACATGTGCTCAGTGGACTAAGTGATTTTTCACAATCAGCCCGTCGTTTAGAAGTATTAAAACAATGTATTGGCTACATATTGAGTGATAAAAGTGCCGAAGGAAAAAAGTTTTGTTGAATTTTATTTTCATTTCTGCAATAAGCATATTCTTATGTAGTAGACAAGTGGCGCTGTCTTCTATTCAATTAAAAGTCATGAAGATGCTCGAATTGCATTATGTAATGAATTAACGTCATATAAAAAACACAATAAACCACGATTAAATAATCAACAATTTGAAACGATTGCCAATTTGCTGAATTCTGCTCTTGAAGTATTTGCTTTTGCTAAATTATGTCTCATAGAAATATATTCTATATTTTTAGGCGACATCATCTATTGATGAACATGGTATTACTTACATGATGCTTGCGTTAGCAACCACATTTCATCGGGTATGTTTTTCGCGTTGATGTAATGTTTTATTTTCGCCGCGTTAAGTGAAATTCTACTCAGAAGGTGTCGACTAGGCTACTGTTCGATGAGCATAACGTTAATAGTGTTCTTTTTACTAATCGAGGTTCTATGAAAAGCTGAAGGATCCACAATTTTTCAAAAACAACATCATATTTTTGATAACAAGATTTTAAAACCCATGACTATTGCATGAACTTATCGTGTTATTATAGAAATTAAGTGAAGAAGCAACACAGTTTATTTATACCGAAATTCAACGTCATGCTGTTTGGACGAATATGCAATTTTGGGAAATGTCGTTTTATTCTGATGTACAACTTCAAACACGAAATTTATATTTATCCCATGAAGATTCTAATCAAAAAAATTTCAGTGACACTTCGATTGTAACGGATTCTTCATCCACAGATACAGTTACACAACAAGGATCGGTAGGAAACAATGAATTCTCCATTTCAATAATTTTCTTTTATTTTCTCTAGACATCGAATGAAAATTCTTCTCATTATAATGGAACAACAGTCCTTCACGAAAAAACAGCTTTAGAAATACTCGCCGAACAAATGCGTCTTTATACACAGAAGACATCTGAAGAACAACGTTCAATTGAAGATCTTGAAAAGCAAACACTTTATGCATTAGCTATTCATTATATACAATTAATGGTTTATATGAAACTTCCATTAGATATATCATTTTCGACAATCAATATATAATCATGTGTCGCATGCTACCAGTGGCGATGCTGATAGTGTCACAGGTGATTTTCATCATAGTACAAATGATCCATTCAAGTATTTGCTTGCTAAATCATAATACAAACTGAATTCATGTTTAGTGTACGAGATGCTGATGAAACATCAACTGTTGGTTCACAAGATAGCGGAAAGGGATTTGATTTAACTAATGATGATCAAGTAACCGATCTTGTACTTAGTTTTGTTAGAAAATTTGTTGACAAAGTTTGATGAAAGTGGTGTTAATACAAGACATAAAAATAGTCTACATACAAAGCTTTATCGTATGTATAAAAAGATTTGAAATACTTTTTTTAAGTTTTTCTGTCTTTTTTTCGTTCTAGAAACCATTCAAATTGAAATTGAAATTCTTGAGAAAGTTTATCGTGAAACACGACCTGTTGCACCAATGCCTAAACCATTATTACCACGTTCTGTAACTATACCGGAATTGTTCGAGCATGAAGAATCAATTGCACTTCGTTCATATTTATTACTCGATGGAAGAGATGAATTTTTTATTGAACAAAATTCTCTTTTACCAACTGAAGGAGCTCTAATGATGACAAACTATCGATTAATATTTAACGGTCGTCCTATTAATCCAGCAAGTATGTTCTTCAAGAAAACGATGCAAATCAGGTGTAAGAATTTCGAATTTCTTTGACTAAACATGATGCCATAAAGCAATGGGTGATAATCGCATGTGGGTATAAATTTAGAACAGCTTAATTCAAAAACTGACATTCTTGTTTCACGTGCTTGTTGGATACGAGCAAATGATTACAGTAAAATTCTGTAATACGAAGATTTTCTCTCCGAGTGAAAAACGATGTGCCAAGTCAAGAGGTATATCATTTTTGAAAGCCCCTTCCGATGCATTTTTGTCAATGTCGGAGGGTTTGGATTTAAAATATAGATTTGACTCCCTATGGATACACTAATTAGTAATCGAGATTAACCAATGAACGATTGTATGCATCAGTAATGTGTGAACGTTTTCTTCTAGCTGCCAATGATTATGTAATTGTTCGTTCATTTCCAATATCATCCTTAATTCGTGAAAAGAAACTTTGTGGTGAATTTCGTATTGATAATACAAATATTTGCCTTCATAATAGTATTCAATTACGTTCGGCAACATTTCAAGTTTGTTTTTTTCTTTTTCAAAAATGATGTTATTTCGTGTGTTTTAGTTGATTAAAGTGTTTTTTGACGATGAAGTTCTTGTTGATGATATTGAAAAATTTCGTACAAAACTTGTTGAAAAGTGTTATCCAGAGTCTGTTTTACAAACATTTTGTTTTACAATACATAGCGATTATAATCCAGTTATAAATAAACAAAAAGATGGAACACTCAAGTAGATTTGTACTTTCAAAAAAATTATTTCCATGTTTTATTTTTGATCATTTAGAAAATATGGTCGTTATGCACGAAATGTTCTACGTAAAAAAGGACTTATACCACGAAAAGATTTAACAGCACATCAAAATATATCATTAAAATCCAATGGTACGAATAGCACAGGTGGTATGAAGCCATTGAATGGTTCTATGAGACATCAACAAAATATACTAACTCGTACACCTGAACCAGTTCGACGTAGTTTAACATTGACAAATACTCGTTCGCCCAAATATACGTCACTACATACAAATGAACGATCATTAGCCGGTGCTTCAACATTAACAACACTATCGACAATACATGAATGTGATGAAGGAATAACGGAAAATATCAGTGATAATGAAGATGAAGATCGATCATCAAGTAGAAATTTTAATTTTAATTTTATTTGAATCTTCTGTTTTTTTTCTTCATTTAGATACCATTGATGAATCAAATAATTATGCAACAATATCAAATGAAACTAAAAGTCTTGAACGTTTTACGGATAGTTTTGTATATAAAGATTTTGTTCGACAAGGTCTTATTGTAACAATGTTTTCATCATCACGTTCAACAATGCGTAAATCTACAGTTACGTCACTAACATCAACTATGTCATTAACTGTTTCATCAAATATAAATGAAAATAATGCACATAGTAACGGACAACAATTAATCAATTCAACGAATGGAAATACTACTGCTAATGGAATAAATTCCAACATGGGCTTAGGAATGAATACAATGCCAACAGCTAGTACAATAACCGTCACCAGTGATGATGCTTTTCGAATTTCACATATCAATCAAGATTTTGGTTTTTGTCGAAGGTAAATTCATAATAATGTTATTCAATACGTAAGCTAGACCCAGTGGATTGCTACTGAAACTCGAATCTAGCAGGATCTTGAAATGTCTTTTCGCGAGAGATTTGATATCTTGAAAATTGAAAAATATGAACTTTTCATTGTCTTTCTAGTTATCCATTGGTATCTGTCTTGCCGAAAGATATTCTCGATGAAAGTTTAAGAAAAGTCGCACAATGTCATAAACTGCAACGGTAAGTTTTACAAGAAAACAAAGAGCGTACTATCTGTTAAATATCCATGAATTCTATATTCAGGGTTCCCGTTATTCTCTAGCGCAATCCACGCACAAAATCGCTTCTATTACGTGGCGCTGCCTTCTGTAATGAAGGTTTCATCAATCCACTTATTAAAGGCCCGCAAACAAATTCAAGTATGCATTAAAATTCTTTGAAATTTGATTTATAATTCTTAATTCATGTTCATCAAGTGATCCCAATGGAAGTATAGAACAAGAACGTGATTTCGATGCTATTGTGAAATTAACACCAACAAAAATGCCATTCTCAACTGAACTTGTCGATGGTGATGAGCTTGAATCGACTGACATAACACTGTTATCTGTTCGGAAGACATCAAATCATTCAGCTACAAATCGTCTACAAAAACTACCAACACATGTTTTATATGGTCGTCTAAGAACAAGTAAAGCATTATGTTTTTTTTTGGTTTCGAAATTAAAGCAAACCCTAGACAACCCCTGGATGAGTGTGATAATGAATAGAAAACATTTCGAATTTTTTTCTATTCACTATCAGACTAGACCACGTTGTGACGATCGTCACAATGTGATCGAAGAGAGAGAGAGGGAAAGAAATTATATAAATGTAAATAAACCTCGCGCATTCTCTTTTAGTATGTCGAAACGATAACGATCATATACGTTACAAAAAACAAACGATAACAATCATATACATTATGGCAAGCACAAACCCAATTGTAACTGAAATCGATCAGACGGCAATGGCAAGCACAAACCGAATTGTACCTGAAATCGATCAGACGGCAATGGCAAGCACAAACCGAATTGTAACTGAAATCGATCAGACGGCAATGGCAAGCACAGACCCAATTGTAACTGACATCGATGAGACGATAATGGAATATTCAAACCAAACAACTTTGTATTATCTTGTATTTTAGATTCAACTAGTACACAACGTAAATACAGAAGTTACATCATGGATCAAAAGCAAAAATGCATAGAGTAAGTGGGGGTAAGTGTAAAATGAAAAATAGTGTGCCTTAGAATAATTGCGATAACTTTTTTAGTTTTGATTTAAAAAAAAAGTTTCGGTCACAAGACCCCTAGCTAAGATGACA